GGGTTAGGCTAGGAGACCTCCAAGGTCTCTTCCAACCTCCCTCCCTCTCTCCCTCTTTCCTTCCTTCCTTGGTAAACCATTATTTCAGTGCAATCATCTTTATGCAATGTTATTAAAAATTATGCACAATATTTGGAAGGTTTAACTATTGAAGAGAACAAGGGAAAAGTGAAAATTCTATCAGTATTCATTGCCATTTTAGGATGTCAGTGTTACAAGCATAAGGACGTTTTGACATTTGTCCAAAATATAATAACATAAAACAGAACCACTGCAATTCATCCAAAGTGCTAGTTATACAATGAGCATTGGCCTAATGGTTTAATATTAAGTTTTTCTATTGTATGGTTACTTACTGCAACAACACGCACTACTATCTCCTGGACTCCACATTTCTAATTTGTGCATCTCCTACATCCAGGCAGATCTGCCTTCCTAGCCCCGAGGAGTAGCAAATATGAAAAGGAAATGAAACCTGAACTTTTACTAGAAATTAAACTGGCTGCTGGGGACCCAGGCTGGGTGTTTGTTTGTTTGTTTGTTTATTTATTTATTATTTATTTATTTAGCTGTCTTCAAACTTGACAGCTTTAATATTTGTGGACTTCAACTCTCCCAGAATCCCTCCTCCAGTCACGTTAGCTTGGGAATTCTGGGAGTTGAAGTCCACAAGTCTTAAACTTGCCAAGTTGGAAGACCCTTGATTTAAAACATTGATGTAGCCACCCATCTTCCACCAAACTGAGCAGCTGCCAATCAGAGAAGGTTTCCACTGATTCACAAGTGAAATCTTCTTTTCTTTTTTACAGGCGCCCAATCTACTCTTTGGCAGAAAAAGAATGCCTGCCTGTGGCAAGAAAAGAGGCCGGCCAGCCTTGACGGGTGAGTGGATATTTCCCCTTAACGGACCTTCTCTAGGTTTCCTTTTTTAAAGTATATGCTTCTCCTTCAACCAGGCCTATTTTCCAATTTGCAGTAAGCTTTAACTCAGAGGTCTCCAAAGTTGGCAACTTTAAGACTTGTGGCGGAACCGAGCCAAACCGGTAGGATACCATCCCTACCGCAGATGTAGGGTCTGCTTTTCACATCATGGAACACCACTTTGCACGGTCAGGGTGGGCTTCGAACATTACAGCAATGAGTTCTCTGCCCAGTTGCTGGGTGGGCGTGATAATATATTATTTTGCACATGACTGCGGCCAGAATTGGGTATGCACAAAACTGGAAACACGACAGCATACGCTCCGAAGGGATAGTGATAAAAAAGATTTTAGACTGCGCAGAGATGGACAAGCTTACACTAGAATTAAAAGATAGAAGTCAAACTATTTGGTCTGGGACTCATGGTACAATTGGTTAAATGTCAGGATTCCGGCAGTTACCCCCATTTAAATCATGAGTCTTGAGCCCCAAACTTCCAAAACTTAAAAAGGATTTATTGAGAGTTAAAATGTCCGGCACTGCCTGGGTGTAGCCGACTCCGAGACACATAATTCATTGTCACCTTTGACCCCGGGTTTTCCCCCACCCCCCTGGTTATATCGTGATTCATAGTCTCCAATGGGACACATCCATAGCCCAGAGTCATCAATCATGTTCTCCAGTTAGAATTTTGCATGGCAGAAACTTCAGTCACCTAGTTACTATCTCTGAAAACATTTATGGAATGCAGTTTCGGTTTGCAACTGCTACATTGCTTCCCTCCTCCCTTTCTGTTGGCAACTCTAAAAAGACCATAGAAATATTTTACAAGTTGACCCTTTGAAAATAAAAGTAAAGATTAACAGTGTAATTATTATGTATATATGAGTACTTGTGATGCTGTAGTGTTGTAAAGAGTGTACAAGTGTTATAACCCTTTGAAAAATGTTCAATAAAAATGATTCCAAAAAAGAAGAAGTGAAATATCTTCAAAAGAAAAAAACAAAGAAACTCCAGTTGCCTCCTAAAAAAAAAAAGCATATTTGGGGCAGCCACGACCTGGATGACCGAGAATCTCTACAAAATCCACTCATCATTCTGTGTTTTGTCACCTTAAGCTGCCAAACAGCCCAAATGGGCTAAAACTGAGATCCAGAAGAAGGGATCCAAACTAACCTGTTCTGGGATGAGAAAGACTGGGACAAGCTTGAAAGAAGAAGCTGGAATTGAGGAGAACAGCAAGGCAGTTTATACTCACTGGCTTATGAAGTCGGAACCGGAGAGTAGGTTACAAAAGGGAGTCGATATGAAGGTGAGCAGGTTACCTTTTAATTTCTATGAGTTGGCGGTAGAGATGAAAGTTTGAAACAATAGAAGCAAAAGGGAAGCAGGATGGGTGGGTGGGGGAGCTCGGCCCCCTTCTTATTTTCTTTGGTGGTTCTAGGCCCTTTTTCAGTGATGGAGTCCAAGCTGAGGGGGGCTGTTTGGTAGCCAGGATGTCTTAGCTTCTAATAAAGGGTGCGTGCCAAGAAAATGGACATAAACCCACGATTCCTACTCCTTCTAAAAGAATATTATCGTAAGAGGCAAGGAACATCAGTACTGCCCTTCTAGTACTGATGGTGTCACCTAGTTGGGCAACAAAATGTCTGCAAGAAAACCTTCAAGCTCCAAGAGCTCCAAGGGGAAAGTGGGAAGGAAGGAAGGAAGGAAGGAAGGAAGGAAGGAAGGAAGGAAGGAAGGAAGGAAGGAAGAAAAGGAAAGAAGCAAGCAAGCAAGATGAGAAAGGAGGGAAGAAAGACAGGAAGGAAGGAAGGAAGGAAGGAAGGAAGGAAGGAAGGAAGCAAGCAAGCAAGCAAGCAGCAAGATGAGAAAGGGAGGGAGGAAGGAAGAAGGAAAGAAGCAAGCAAGCAAGATGAGCAAGTGGGGAGGGAAGAAAGGAGAGAAGGAAAGCAAGCAAGATGAGAAAGAGGGAGGGAAGGAAGGATAAATTATATTAGCTAATATTACCTTGCTTATATTCATTTATATTTTACTGTTTATTCTCCCTTGTCTTTTTTTAAAGTTTGATATATCATGTTCAGTTCAAACTATTTAAATATTTTTATGGGAGAAAATGGCCGTGCTTTGAGTCATGCGATGTTTTATCGTTTCGTTCACCAGTTTGGCATTGAAGACTTGAAAGCTGAGCCTAACCAAAGGGCTTGTTGGGATGGAGTCAGGAATTATCAGGTAAAATGGTGGTGAAATATATATATATGTGTGTCAGTTTTTGTTCAACTTATAAAATGGGAAACCGGAGATAAGGTTTCATATCTTTGAGAAGCTCCTGTTTGTTGTTGCTTTTTTTCTTTTCCCCTGAAAAACATACGGTGAGAAGAGAGGAAATCCTCAATTTACGGCCATTTTTTAAAATGACCATTAGAAGTTACAACGGCAGTGAAAAAAAAAATGACTTACAACCAGTCCTTAGAACAATTGCAGCCTCCCCATGGTTACAGCATCAAAATTTGGGTGCTTAACAAGTGTATTACATGTAATTACAATTTTGATTGTCCCAGCCAGCTTCTGATAAGCAAAGCTTTTGGGGAAAAGCCAGATTTTCTTAACAAAAGCGTGATTTACTTAGTCACCACAGCAAAAAAAAAAGTCATAAAATGGGCTACGGCTCACTTAACAAATGCCTTGCTTAGTAATAAGCATTAAAGTTCCAACTGTGCTCATAAATGGAGGATCACCTACAAGTAAAATATCTTGAATGGGATTGATTTGAAATTAACCAGTTTTTAGAATATTTGCTTTGGGATCCAAATCCCTTAAGGGAGCAGTTAAGGTCTGCTTTTAATCCTGTGAATTTCCACTTCTTGTAGTTTACTTCTGAGTAAGCCATAATTAGTTAAGTTTGGGCCAAGGTAAAGCCAAACCAATTTACAATGATATGTAAACGTAGCTGTTTCTTGCTCACTGAGCAACCTGTGAGCTAAAAATGGCTTAGTGGGAGATGGAAAAGCAACATGCTTCGCTATGGTTCATTATGGTTATTCATTATAATGGCATTTTTTTGCTAATACTGTACTTTTATTTGGCAGCAGCCAAAAAAGCCAACGCAATCCTAAATTGCATTAACAAAGGATAACAAAGAATCAAGATCAAGGGAGGTATTAATACCACTCTATAAAGCCTTAGTAAGATCACACCTAGAATACTGCATCCAGTTTTGGTCACCATACTATAAAAAAGGATGTTGAGACTCTAGAAAAAGTGCAGGGAAGAACAACCAGGATGATTAGGAGACTGGAGGCTAAAATATACAATGAACGTTTGCAGCAACTGGGCCTGGCTAGTCCAGGGAAGAGAA